AGATCGGGAAAGCGCTACTACATAACGCTCTTTGTCCGAGACTCCCTTCATGGAAGCACCTCTTCCTATGAACCTCTAGAAGTAAATTTGAAAAAGACGCCGGAAAAAACGACCACTGAGGCGAAAAGCGATGAGGTAAAATTAAAAATTCAAAGGTTTTGCCATTCCCACCCCAAATTTTTCGTTTTGTAGGGAAGAAATCTTCACGATGCTGTTCTTGAAAACGCTTATCTCCCACCGAAGAAGGGCTCAACGATTGATTATCAGTTCGTAGTTTCAGACAATGCAACACAAAATCATAAGGTAGGCTGGTGTCTTTTGATTTCAATTCTGTTTAGGAGCTCATTTATTAGTAAAACATGATCAGTCTATAATATGCGAAAATTGACATCAAAAAAGTTCCAAAACGAGGCTTTTCTACGCTTTGCCTTTATGTGAATTTAGGAGACCTTGCTTTACTTTTTCACTAGCCTTAAAATTCCGAATTTCAAAAAACGCATTTTTTTATCTCAAATTTGAAATCATGAGCACAAATGAAAATTTCCAGTACATCTGTAGGCTGAAGGCTGATATATGTAATCTGATATTTTTTCAAAGTGGATCAGATTACTTCGCATATTTTTTTTTGAAATACGGAGATGCTTGAAAAGTTGGTACCTGGCCGAATTTGCAATTTTTCGAATGCTCGTATCCACATACCCGTTCCAGTGTGCTTTTGAAAAAACAACATCCCTTAAATTTCTTAATTTAAACGAACAAAATGAACAAAATAATTTGCAGGAAACAAACTCTAAAATCGCAACTATTCTAGTGCGAACAGCATGATTTTTTTCCGTTGAGAAAGAGAGGTTGTGTAACCACAGTCACAAGTAAAAATAAATTGATAAATTGATAAAATAAATTAAATTAAATTAATTAATAAATTTTGTTGGATTTGTTAGCATTTTTGCCGATCAAAATCTAATGAAATTAGACTATTTCTATTTAGCTTGTGTTTTCGTGACATATTGATATGAATTTTCTGGTCTTACATCCC